AAGTAATAGAATGCAGTCATAGGTTGGATTCACACTAGAGAACTATTATCCGTATCAGGAGTTAACCGTCTTTGCATCCGGAACATACATTGGAATCGGGCACACCAACGTGAGTATTACAGGTACACAATATTACATGGCGGACTGCCATACTGTAATATTACATTATCTGGGCTATGTTCTCACACACACACAGACACACGCACACACCCACACCAGCTGACAGTTAGAAGGATCCAGTAACAGATATGCTCAACCGTGCGTTCATACTAGGAAATACCTGATCCAGCTATCAAGATAATAGGATCACTGGCCAGTAGGAAACTAAAAATTGGAATTGCGTACATGTGATTGGTTAATAATGAGTGCAACAGACTGATAGCGCTCGCTAACCGTTAGTGAATCCAGATCCTGATAACGGTTAAAGCTAATCCATTGGCCGTTCCCACTCTGGTATTAACGGTTAACTCCTGATACGGATAATAGATCTCTAGTGTGAATCCAACCTATGACTGCATTCTATTATTTTAAATTGTTTTTATATTACAAAAGAAAACAATAATGTTAGAAAAACTTTCCTTGAGAAACATTGATTTCATAAAACGATTTTCTTGCTAGCATCTAAGGGAATATCCAAGGAATTGTCTAGAGATGGTAATGAAGAGTGTAAAACAGTACTGGAGCAGCGAGGTGATTAGTGAAGTGTGGAATTTAGTACCTAATTATGCTCTTATAAAAAAACTGAAAAAATTAAGCAATGCTGAAATATTGTTAATAATATTTTTTTTTCACATCTATAAAACAAATATACAGATCTAACCCACTGGCACTTTCTCTGATACAACTATACTGAAATGCTCACACATATAGTGGAGCTACAGTGCTTGATAAGCTTGTAGGTCGCAGCCTGGAAATAAAAGTAAATAATATTCAAATTAGGATAGCAATTACTTCACTGTAACATTATTAGGCCTAAGTATATTGTTACTTAAAAATATTTTTTATTTTACAGGATTTTATTCCCAGATGGCTACCAGCAAGTTGAATCAGTTTCTGGAAAATGTTGATGAAAAGGTGTTAGAGTGTACCATCTGCTTTAACAAACTTAAGAATCCGAAATCCCTCACCTGCCTACATAGCTTTTGTTTGGCATGTCTAGAAGACTGGGTTAAGGTGAATGGTGAACTGACTTGTCCAACATGCTCAAAATCATGTCCCATTCCAAAGGGCGGGCTTCAGAAGCTTCCACCAAATACCATTCTAAATAATTTATTAGAAACTATGGAACAAATTTCAGAAAAAGATCAGATGAAATGTGTTTGTGGAAAGGAAGGACAGGTAAAATACTACTGCCAGGATTGCAAACAGTACTTGTGCTCTACTTGTAGTGATCATCATACAAATTATACACTCTTTGCAAATCACAAGTTACATTTAATCGAGGAAGTGCAATCAATGAGCCCCACTCAGATAACTTTGTTACATCCACCTCTGTGTTCACATCACAGTAAACCTTTGGAGTTCTACTGCACAGATTGTAATATTCCAATCTGTGTGAACTGTATTATGGACCACAAGGAATGGGAAGGAAAACACAAACCAATCAACATTTCAGACGCATTCCAAACATTTAAAGAAACTTCAGCCACCTTGGAAAAATCTGCCCAACACTTCATAAACAAATTAGAACGCGGTCTCAAAGCTGTTATCCACAATGCTACAAAATTACAACAAAATAAAGACACATGTTTAATAGATATAGACAATCATGTAGAAGAAATATTCAAAAAAGTAAAAGAGAATAGAGACAAAATGAAAAATGAAGTAGAGACAATCTACAAAAGGAAAAAGAAGGTAAATGATGTACAAATGGATGAATTTAAAGCAATATTATCCGATATAAAAACAAAACTGTCTTTTCTTAATCAATTATTGAAGAGTGATGAAGGCACTGACCAAAATCTCTCAAATTCAGGAAGATGAAAATGGAGATTATTTTGTGACAGAAAAATGCACAAGTCCAGGAGTTTGTAAACTAGATGTGAGTGCTGATGATGAACCAATTAACCAATCACCAATGACGATCAAAGTAGAAGAGGGAAGATTAGTAAATACTATTAAAATAAATGCAACATATATTATAGATGTAGTTAAGTGTGAAGATGACTCCTTACTGGTTTCATGTCTGACAAATGAAATGCTCAAGTACAAGCAATCAGGAGAATATATTGGTAAGGTTACACTACCACAAGGTGTGCAAGTTCTCAGAATGTACAAAATGAAGAATGGTAACATAGCATTCAGTGATTTCAATAATAAACCTATCAGAATATGCAATATGAATGGTCAGCTGATTAAAACAATTAGTGTGGGAGTACAGAATACACCACGGAGAATTCATGTGGATGAGACATCAAATGTTTTGTATGCAGCAGGTTGGTCCAATAGCTGTGTGTACATGTTTGACATGAATAATGGCAAGACCATCAAAACAATAGGGTCATATGGTACAAAAGAAGGTCAAATGAGTTTTGTCAGTGATGTTACTCTTACTAACCAAGGACACCTTCTTGTATTGGAGAGTGAATATTTAGGTATTGGAACAAGTAGATTACAGTTATTTAATAATGAGGGAAGGTTTATAAAAGTCCTTGTTGAAGCAGGTGATGAGGATGGTAAGGTAAATTTTCCAAGTACAGTAGTAGTTGATGAGGATGACAACATTATTATATCAAGTCAACACAAACTACAGCTATTCAGTAGTGATGGAACTTTCATAAAAAGAATTGATAAACCAGAAGATGGAATCAACAATCCAGAAGGATTATCCATCATTTCATATCATCCAAGGAGACTTGCAGTAGCAAATCGTGGTGACAAAACAGTAAAAATATTCAATTATTAAATACTGACAGTCCACTTGCTTCACTTGTGTGTTTTCAACAATTCAAATTTATAAGTGTAGGAATATCTACATATCCATTATTTCATATCATCCACATAGAGTTAAGTTATTAATCTTAAACTTAAAATAATTATTGAATAAAATAATATCAAAATATGAAGTTGGCATAATGTTTATAAACTTGTTAAAATATTTCATTATTGAATATGATATACATAGAGCTGAAGTTGTGGGTTTTTTTATAAACTGTTAAAATATTAATTATTCTACATAATTGATATCTATAGAGTTGAAGTTATTAAACTGAAAACATTAATACTGTAATCTACCAACCTCAACTGTTTATAGTGTAGTTCTCATCAAATTTGAATCACACACTATTGATCTTATGATTTTATATTTTTGTAGTAGTGTAAGTTTTTAATCATATAATGCATATACATGTTACTTTCTTGCATATTGATGTTAAAAATGTTACTTTTCAATCTATTGGGGCTTTTTGTACAGCCTATCCAGGGGCGTACGGTGAAAAATCTAAGGGGGGGGGTCAAAACGAAAGCGCAGGGGGCAAGCTGAACTCGGAGCAATTTAGCGAAGCTTTCATAATTCACGGGGTGCGTTATTTGTGAGTGAAGCAAGCATATTTAAAGGGTACTTTCTTTAAAATGGGGGGTCGACAGCACCCATCGACCCCCCCCCCCACGGTACGCACCTGCTATCAACTTGTATTTCTTTGATTTTCATAAATTTTGATATTTGCAAGTTTGTTTATTCTTTCTTTAGTACCTGTATATTTTTTCTGGTTTTTCTGTATAAAAAAAACCTAACAAGCACACAACAGAGTGTATATTAAATGAATAAGATGCACTGAGTCAGATTGATTATTTTGGTGTATATTTAATTTTTCTTATAAACTTGAATCTGCGTAAATAATCTGACTCAAAGTAGTAAGACAGGGATATATTTAAAAGGGGGTTTGTAAGCATTTTATTATTTCTTCATCATAAAAAGGAATATACTGTATATGATTTAGGTAGTTAAGTTTGGCTTCTTTTTGCATTCATCATGAATTTTAATCTGTATACAACCTAATAAATTTATAGATTTTCATGTACACTTTGACAATAAATTATCTGAATCTGATATGTATGTACAGTATAATTGTTATTACTATATATGATTAACAGTGTAAAAGGTTTCTTAACCCATTATAGAGGGCAGAAATTTGTATGTCGTCACTCATTACATAATGATAGCGTGGGTCAGTAGCGTCTAAAAAATTAGCACGAATCAGTGGCCTCCTGAATGTGATCGGGATCAGACGTGTGTTTGACCACTCACTTATTATGTGATTCAAGTACATTTATGGTATGTTTTATTTTACCTTTTATATTTATAGTGTTATAAGATTAGTTACTTAGTGTATTAATTACCGCCTTTAATGCATTGAAAGTCTCTTGTTATATGAATACAGCCTAAGTAAGGTGAAGTTTAACAAGATACAACTGCATTGTATATTCCTTTGTTCTAACTGCTTGTTCTTGATCCTTTGGTGTAAACAAGTTACAGTATTAGGTATTTAAATTTACTATGCTAAAGTATTAGTTGTAGTGGTAAGTTGGTAACAACTGCCCAATTTAACCTAAGTTATGACATAGCATGAGTAA